CAAAGTAGCAGAAGACTGGTTCAAAGTAGCAGAAGACTGGTTCAAAGGAGCAGAAGACTGGTTCAAAGTAGGAAAAGGATAACTCCAACTGTAAAAGAATGGGAGCTGAAAGTGAAAAGGAGCTATAATAGAGTAAGTTTACTGAAGCAGAAGTATTTTTAAAGAAGTTAAAGATAAGTATTTGTAATAATATAAAATATTTTGAACTATATTTTAATATATGAATGATTAAAAAGTCGGCAGAAGTAGCTTGTTTGTGAAAAGGTCTGTAAAATCAAAGTCTAGTTCCTGATTTGTGGTCTGACCCGCTTGTCCTTCTCCAGGGGTACCAGATTCCTAAAGGCTGGAACGTCATCTACAGCATCTGCGACACTCACGACGTGGCCGAGGTTTTCCCCAACAAAGAAGACTTCGAGCCGCAGCGCTTCATGAGCCGGCCCTCGGCCGACTCGTCCAGGTTTCACTACATCCCTTTTGGCGGCGGCTCCAGGATGTGCGTGGGGAAAGAGTTTGCCAAGGTCCTGCTGAAGATCTTCTTGGTAGAAGTGGTAACAAAGTGTCACTGGACACTCTTAAATGGACCTCCCACCATGAAAACAGGACCGACCGTCTATCCCGTGGACAACCTGCCAACAAAGTTCACCAGCTGCGTGCACAATACGGCTAACGTTTACTGAAGTGTAGTTTCCCTCTGACTCGTTGCTTGGAGCTTCTGTGGTTCTTGTCTGGACTCATTAGTTTTACTTTGTTGCTCAATGTGTGTATATATTGTAGATTAAATATTTTGAATTTTATTAACTTTATATTTTTCCTAAACTAAATAAAAGCACTAAACGGTTCCATAGAAACTTTATTCATGTCAGTTGGAGTTTTTGTACATATCTAATGTTCATATGTTTTTATTCTGCCACAAGTTATTTAAGCTGCTTGTCTTTTATTCAGTGAACTTTTTTATTTAATAAAACAAATGTTTTGACAATATTTTGTACTGGTCCATCCAAAACTGTTCTGAGTTGTGTTCATCTGTGCTTTGCTTCATCAAAGCAGAGTTTCCAGCTGCTTGTTCGTCAGGAGTCGTGTTTAGAAAAGACTGAAGATGTTTTTTATTAAATGTCGGTGAGTGTGATCATGTTCAGGTGTAACTGGACTCATCCTTTCTATCTGATCAGGACTCAAAGCTCTTTACAACAATCTGTGGTCCCATTCATACAGCACTCTACTACATCTCTACAAAGAATAATCAGAGCTTTATCACATTCATACACTGATGGGACACACATCAGAGGCAATGAGGGGTTCAGTGTCTTGCCCAGGGACACTTCAGCATGTGACTGCTGGTGGAATCAAACCCTCAACTCTCCCACTGGAGGACGACTGCTCTAACCACTGAGCCACAGCCGTCACCTGATACTAACATTAATTACATGTTTTTGTTTTTAATCTTGTTTGGATTATTTACATAGTTGAGTGTGAAGCAGGAACTGTTCAGGATCTAGATGTGTCTACAAAAGGCTTCATGAGGATCTTCGGCTCTTCATGTTACCCCCCCCCCCCCCCCCCCCATGACCTCATTACATTGTCAACAAATCCAGATCTGGTGAACGCGTCAGGCAAGTATGAAAAATAAAACCTAAAGGCTTTGAGCATGAATAAAACTCGTTCTGAGTTGGTGGAAGACGATCTTCATGGTGGAAACATATTGAGGTCCTGAGCATCGTTCCTCCATGTTCCTGTGAACCTCCCCCGTGGATCTGGGCCCCCTGGTGCTGCATGTGAAACAAACAGTTTATAGTTGGGGTATAATGAAACTGATTTAAATGAGATTGTCTGATTGAAGCAGTGGTCTAGTCCAGGTTTGATCATGTCAGCTGAAGTGAAGCAGTAATCCATGCCTTCATCATCTCTCAGCTGGATTATTGAATCACTCTTCACCTCAGAGCCAGTCCTCCCTCACACGTCTCCAGCTGGTCCAGAACGCTGAAGCTCGTCTTCTAACTGGAGTTCATAAGAAGGAGCACGTCCCCCCACTCTGGCTTCACTCCACTGGCTGCATGTTCACTTTAACATTTGTTTTTAAAAGATTCAGTGATTTTTAACCATTTTTTTCTTTTCTTGCTCCATCCTTCTTCTCTGAGCTGCTTCACCCAAACTCTCCTGCTCGGTGCCTCAGATCAGCTGATCAGCTGCTCCTGGAGGTGCCGAGGTCCAAACAGAGGTTCAGAGGGGACCGAGGTCCAAACAGAGGTTCAGAGAGAACAGAGGTCCAAACGGAGGTTCTGAGGAGACAGAGGTCCAAACGGAGGTTCAGAGGAGACAGAGGTCCAAACGGAGGTTCAGAGGGGACAGAGGTCCAAACGGAGGTTCAGAGGAGACAGAGGTCCA